GGTGGAGAGTTTGGAATCTGATAGATTGATTGCTTCTGTGGACAGGTGTCTTTTATACGGGTGACAAACTGAGATTAGGAGCACTCCCTTTAAGAGTGTGCTCCTAATCTCAGCTCGTTACCTGTATAAAAGACACCTGGGAGCCAGAAATCTTTCTGATTGAGAGGGGGTCAAATACTTATTTCCCTCATTACATTTACGTCATTTAGCAGACACTCTTATCCAGAGCGACTTACAAATTGGTGCATTCACCTTATAGCCAGTGGGATAACCACTTTACAATATGTTATTTTTTTCTTTTCTTTGGGGTGGGGTAGAAGGATTACTTTATCCTATCCCAGGTATTCCTTAAAGAGGTGGGGTTTCAAATGTCTCCGGAAGGTAGTCGGTTGAGACTAGGGTAACGGGTTGAAGTGACAAATGCTAACCCTAACTGCTCCTTGTCATTTAGCAGACGCTCTTATCCAGAGCGACTTACAGGAGCAATTAGGGTTAAGTGCCTTGCTCAAGGGTACATCGACAGATTTTTCACCTAGTCGGCTCGGGGATTAGAACCAGCGACTTTTCGGTTACTGGCACAACGCTCTTAACCATTAAGCTACCTGCCACCCCTGAAATGACTAAAATGTAAATGTAAATATATAAATTGGTTTTGTTTACATTCAAATTCACTCCAATATTTACAATGAAAATAGTATTTCATAGATATAACCAACAGATATCAATTTGAATTAAACAGAGCTTTATTAACCCAACTGCACTAAACAAACAAAAACATAGCAGACATTAATAACATTGAACAGGTCATCAGAACAGGTCAACAGGTCATCAGAACAGGCCAGAACAGGTCATCAGAACAGGTCTGAACAGGTCATGAGAACAGTTCAATAGGTAATCAGAAAGGGTCATCAGAACAGGTCAACAGGTCATCAGAACAGGTCAACAGGTCATCAGAACAGGTAATCAGAACAGGTCAACAGGTCATCAGGTCAGAACAGGTCAACAGGACATTAGAACAGGTCAACAGGTCATAAGAACAGGTCAACAGGTCAACAGGACATCAGAACAGGTCAACAGGACATTAGAACGGGTCAACAGGTCAGATCAGGTCAACAGAACATCAGAACAGGTCAACAGGTCATAAGAACAGGTCAACAGGACATCAGAACAGGTCAACAGGACATCAGAACAGGTCAACAGGACATCAGAACAGGTCAACAGGACATCAGAACAGGTCATCAGAACAGGTCAACAGGTAAATCAGAATCATAAAAACATTGTGTGAACATTATAACCTTTTTCAGGGGTATGTAGGCTCCCAGAACTGCTGTTACAACAGCACTGTCATCACGGCCAACTTCTACACACAACAGCTACTGGATGTATGGAAAGACTCGAAGAGACCTTGGCCTGCCTGTTGAAACACAACAGGCTGGGTTCCCACTGGGTACACTTCCTATTGGCAGGCTGTGGCTTTGGGGTATGTTCTGTGTGTGTCTGTGTGTGTGCACCATGGAGCAGGTCTCACAGGTAGGTAGATACTTTTGGGGTGTGTGTGTGTGTGTGCCTCTTGCTTCATGGCGTTCATCCTGAATGTCTGGCCCACGCCTCGTTCAAGATCTTTACGTGGCGGGATGTCACAGGCTGTGGTGGTGGAATCATTTCAAGGACATCATCAAAAAAGATACCAGTGGATTGTCATCACGAGCAGGCCAGAAAAATCTGTTTTGATTCTGGACATGCGTTTCATCTGTGTTAAAGATGATGCCTGGATATACACTGCGGGTCTTCATCGTATCTGACACTACACCACTTGCCCAAGCAGCCCTGGACTTCCCCACGGGGTTTCCTTCACTGACTGGCTGTGGTGCAGCAGTTGGCACCTTCTTGCTGAAACGGAAATGCTGTGTGTTGAAGCACTTGCAGTCGAGTTGCTTCTGTGTTGAGCTCATGCAGCTGACACCACAATATATCAGTTGCACAGGAGGTTGGTGGTACCTTAATTGGGGAGGACTGGCTCGTGGTAATGGCTGGGGTGGTATCAGTGGAATGGTATCAAATACATCAAACACATGGTTTGACTCCATTCCATTTGCTCCATTCCAGCCATTATTATAAGCCGTCCTCCCCTCAGCTGCCTTCCCTGATCAAATGGCATATGCACATATATAAAGATTTTCAGGTCAATTTACTTTAGATTTGATGATGTGAAAATCTAAGCAAAAATGTTGATTGACAAGAATAGAATGTTCTCTCCAGTGGCATCACTCTAATGGACTACTGTACGTAATCTTAACATGGACAACATTACAGTCAACATATGCATGTGGCTATGAGAATGAAGATAAACCATAATAATTAATTTGAATAATTGGATAACAAAGTGACATACAACCCTGTTATGATCAAACAAGTAACAGAGTTGAGCGTGACAGGGTTGAGTTTTTTGCCTCAAAATGGCCACTGTTCCTCATCTGGTGAAGAACAGGAGACCACATGGCATGCATGAAATTAAGAAATTGCATATCTTTTTGGAATAAAAAAAAATATATAGTTTTCTATCTTTATTTTATGTAACAGAGTTGAGTTGTTAAGCCCGACGACCCCAATCTAACAATACAAATCTATGAAATTTAGATATAAAAGGTTGTGATAACTTGCCTGTCTTTGCACCATGTTGTTCAAAAGACTTGTATGAGGTCACTTCCAGCTGATGATGTCACATAAGGATAAGTTCACTGTTGTTATGGGGGGAGATTGGTTGGCACAACAGGGTCGAGGGTAGACTGAGGTACGCAACTAATTAGTGTGATGTAAGTCATTAATCATGCATTTATTTGGGGAAAATATATTCTCAGCAAAAGAGCACAAATAGATGTTAACACCAATGACAGAATGTATAGATTATTTGCATATTTTATTAGTCATATCCTAAGAACAAAAGGCCACAGAGGACATGACAAAATGCTTGGTGTCAGTTGAAAACAAGATATTTTCTGATATTAAAGAGGAAATTAATGTAACATGTCTTACACTTCATTACAGGGGACATTTCAATTTAGCTTTTGGTGACCAGTTATTAAAATATACTTTAAAAAGGTCAGAGGGACCCAATTACGTTATTTGACATTTTTACATATTAATACAAAATGAAAAGCTGAAATGTCTTGAGTCAATAAGTATTCAACCCCTTTATAGCAAGACTAAACAAGTGCAGATCACAAATTGCATGGACTCACTGTGTGCAACAATAGTGTTTAAAAAATGTTTTATGGCTACCTAATCCCTGTACCCCACACATACAATGAATTATCTATAAGGTCCCTCAATCGAGTACTGAATTTCAAATACAGATTCAGTCAAGACCAGGGAGGGCACCTATTGGAAGATTGGCAAAAAATAAAATACAGACATTGATTATCCCTTTGAACATGGTGAAATGATTCATTACACTTAGGAAGGTGTATCAATACACCAAGGCACTACAAAGACATCCTTCCTAACTCAGTTGCCAGAGAGGAAGGACACCTGAGGATGGATCGACATTGTAGTTACTCCAGAATACCAACCTAATTGACAGAGCGAAAAGGAAGCCTGTACAGAATATAAATATTCCAAAACATGCATCCTGTGTTGCCTAGTTCGCTTAATGAAATCTGCTTGAAAATACATGGCATGACCTGAAAATGGTTGCCTAGCAATGATCAACCCATTTGACAGTTTTGAAAATGAGCAAATATTGTACAACAGGCACACAAAGCTTGCTCACCCAGACTCGGCTGTAATCACTGCCAACGTCCATTGAGTAAGGTGTGTTAAATGCAGTACCTAAGCAAGCGATTTCTTTATTTCATTTTCAATAAAAGGTGCAAAAAACATGTTTTTACTTTGTCGTTATGGGGGTGTCTTGTGTAGATCGGAGGAAAAGTGTATTTGAATTCAGGCTTTAACGCAACACGAAATCCACCTTTAGTTAACACAACTCACCGCTGGAGCAATTTACATAAAAATTGTATGAGCAGTGTTAAGAACTGAGTAGAAGTTGTGTAAATTGAGCCCCCCCCCCCCATTGTTGTTTTACTGTGTACAGGGCACCATTGAGATTGAGACCTTGGCCTCAATGGATTTTTCCTAAATATCTAAAATAATTAGCTAGCTTTAGCTAATAGAATGTCATTATTCATTGAGGTCCTAACTTACTGTCACAAGGTCATTTTTGAACCACTTCAAAAAAGTTCCCTCGCAGGAAAAGTAAATATCTAATTATTATTTGGAAGCTCCAGAGTATTATGAAAGGAAAGGTCGAAAGACTTAAAAAAAAATCACCACTTCAGTTTATTCAGTTATCACATTTGTGAAAACCGTACATTTTCAAACAGCAAGATTTAGTCAACGCACTACAAATATATGTTACACTTTTAAATGTTATTTGAAGCCTCTGGTACCTCTAAGACATTGACTGTACCCCACCCAAAACATGACAAAACACCAATTTACCAGATTCTAAACGCCCAACAGACATGGGCTGATTTAATCTTTCCTTCCATTACAATACGCCTTGCACATTTTACGGTAAAACAGTCGCACCTAGAGCAAACTATAACAAAAACATAAGGACACAGCACTTTCTTACAAAAGGTAAAAGGAAATACAAATTGTTAAATGTACAATATGTACCTGAACAAACAGGGCTTTTTTCCCCCCCCCCCACTGCAAACAGAGTTGCCAGACATTCCATTTACTCTTTTGGAAAAACAAAAATAAACTCATATGGATGATGCAGGATGCAGATGGGCCATTTCAAAACTCACAGGCAGCTCTCAAGCAGAGAGGGTGAAGAGGGTTTGGTGGTGGTGGTGGGGGGGGGGGGGGGGGGGGGGGCTAGAGAGCCCTTACAGTTATATATCAATTAAGCTTTCTGGAATGTCCAAAAGGCTCTGCCAGCGTATAGGTACGGTGATGAAAACAGAGTCTTTTCAAAACAGTAAAAGACAGGGATTTTAATCGTCAAACTTGATCTTCTTGCCCTGGGGCTTGTCTCCGAATCCACCGCCTCTTCCACCTAGGGGGGGGAAAGAAAAAAACAAGTCATGGTCCGTTCCTTTGAAAGCAGCACAGAGTATTACCAACTGCTAGACCAGATCAGTACCTACTATCTATGAGATTCATCACAGGGTATCAGAGTGAAAAGTATCCATCATATCTGGTCCAAACAGGAGCTAGGCAACACTTTAAACAAGAGCCACACCGAATCTTACCTCTGAACCCACCACGTCCACCCCCACGGTCACCTCCTCTACCCCCCCTGAATCCGCCGCCGCGACCTCCCCTGCCACCGCCGAAACCGCCGCCGCCACCACCACGGCCAAATCCACCACCGCGACCTCCCCTGCCACCGCCGAAGCCCCCCCGACCCCCACGGAATCCACCGCTGTCGCCCTTGGGCTTGGCGTAGTCCAGGTTCACGCTGCTGCCGTCAATCTCGCCGCCCTCCATGGCCTCTTTGGCTGCCTTGCAGTCGTTCTCGCTGTCAAAGTCGACAAATCCAAAGCTGGGGGGGGGGGCAGGAAGTTGAAAGAATTGAAGGGAGGAAAGAGAAATTAATGTCTGCAGAAAAGCAAAAATGGCGACACCTCAAAAGCACAATTGATTTGCAATGCAAATGCAGCCCTCCTTCAGTAACAACTACATGCTACTGCTACCGTCTATATTGTGTTTCACATCAGACATGGGCAAACTGCCACTGAGGTCAAGGTAGGCGCCTGTTTGACTGCGATTTGGCTCTACTTCTCGTGCGAATCCATTCACCGTCACTGTGTGGACAGGAGGAGCTCATGAGAAGTTAACGGCTATAGCAGTGTGACAATTAACACATTTAAGTCATTTAGCGGACGCTCTCATCCAGAGCGACCATTTACCATTTAGAATTGCCCGTGTCACGGTCTGTGACCACTCTGGCCCCGGTGGCACTGTCAAAGGCGTCTCTGAGCGACTGGTCTGTGGTGTCTTCAGAAAGCCCTCTGACAAACAGGGTTTTTGTGGGACCTCCTGGCAAAGGAGGGAAAAAATGTTAACAATGGTACGATCATTTACATTTCAGTCATTTTGCAGACGTTCTGATCCAGAGCGACTTCTAAACATTTCTGAAGAAATGGGGGAAGGTTCAGATCTAACCACTATAAGGGTATAAAACCTACCGGATCCTCCTCTGCCTCCAGCGTCTCTGCCGCCACTGTTCTGGCTGTACTCTAGCCGGATTTGCCTGCCCTCGATCTCGGTTCCATTAAGGTTCTCCAACGCCTCCTTGGCTGCCTCCGCACTCTCAAACTCCACAAAGGCAAACCTGCACAGGAGACAGAAATAGTTTCAGGAACTTTACTAAACACTTGGAGGTGGGGGGGTGTTAATTGATGAAGCGTTAAATTGTTTCACAGCAGACATGGGCAACACCTGTTGAGATTAAGGGTGCCTGTTCAATTTGTGATTAGTCTCTACTTCTCGTGCGAATCCGTACAACGCCACTGATTGGCAGAGAGGAGCTCATGAGAAGCCCTGATGGTGTGGTCTGACCCATCCAATAGAACACTACGGTTTGCCCCCCCCCCAAAAAAACAGGAAATATTGATGCAGCTGTGCAACGGGAACCCCCCCCCCCCACTCACCCTTTGGGCCTGCCGTTGTTCTGTGGTACTCTGATGGAAACGGCCCCTTCGAATGCACTCTGGAGTGAGTCTTCTGTAGCACTGTAGGACAGGTTGTTCACGATGAGGGTCTTGCTTTCAGCAGCTGCCTGGGCTGAGAGCGAATAAGGAGCAAGATGGGCTATCAGGGTGAATGTTGGCGTGCACCAGCACTATGAAAGTATATTTGCACAGACCAGTATTTTCAGTACTTGACTATCTTTGAAATCGTCACATAGTTTCAGGAAGAGAAGTTTGCATCACGACTGGTCCTGATCGAAGAACTTAAAAACATCCTCTCGTTGGTGCTGCGTACCTGGTGGTCTGGCTCCTTTCTGGCTTTTGTTGCCTGTGTAGTCGACCATGATGGAGCGTCCCTGGACATCGGCACCCTGGGCCTCTGTTAGCATCTGGTCCGCAACGGCCTCAGTCTTGAACTCAATGTAGGCAATGCTGTGGGGGGAAAATACAATTTGGTTATGTTTACTAATCCGAGAACAGATACACAATGCAAATACATTAACCAGGGGGAAAAAAGGTGGGTCCTCACCCTCTGTTGGAACCATCCTGGCCCGGGGGTATTCTGATTTCAACGGCGTCCGCAAACACTTCCCTCAGGTCGTCTTGTGTGGCCGAGAAGGGCAGGTTCTTCACAAACAAGGTCCGTGCATCCCTGTCTGTTAGAAGAGAGACGGTGAGCATGTACATTCCCATGGTGATGGTACAGTATAGACTGGTTTGGTTTGCAAACATTGACACAAGAGGGTGATGTGCACAAGTCGGTGGCAGAACACGGGGGAGTTCTTAAGGCTCGTATGAAGTCCTGCCTAATATGTTTGTCATCATCGCAAATACTTCAACCAGTAAAAAAACGGCTCTTCGCCAACTGCTGCATCCAAAATAGTTATTTTGCAAAGATCACAACCAAATATAACCCTAGCATCTGTTCAAGCAAGAAACAAAAACGTATTGCAAAGTTAACTTTGTTCAGAAGTAATAAAACCGTAAATCTAGACTTGGAACGGACGCAGATGGCTTTATTACTGCCGCCAAGGGGCAGGAAAAGGCACCCCACCTTTCTTGTCCTCTTGGGAGTCCCCTTTGCTGCGGGCCTTGTCCATCTTCAACTCCTGTCCCATGAACTTCTTGCCGTTCAGCTCCATGGCTGTCTGCATGTCCTCCGCTGAGGCAAACTCCACGTAGCCAAACTTCCTGGTGCGTAAGATAAGTGTGCATTAGAAGACTGCATATAAAACCCATCAGTTAGGGTTCATTGTCTTTTTTTCAAGTGTGCCAGCGATTGAGGATAGGACCAGTAGACAATAACACACTGGTACCGAAGACATAGCACTGGCTTTGTTCTACCTCCGTACAATCACACATGAGTACTGAGCAACTACAGGTGTGCCAAGAAATGGAGGGGATCCTGGTGACTAAAGTCAAATCAACTAGCTTATCCCATCAAGTACTAGTCATTTTTGTCTGGCCAATTGGAAAGTAGGAATTATTATTTTCTAATATTTATCAGAAGTCCTGAGCGGATCATCATAACACAGGAATCCACCATCACTTACTTTGATGCGCCAAGTCTGACGTCCTGAACTTCAAGGTTCTTCTTTGAGAAGAAAGCTGCCAAGGCTTCTTTGATTTCATCAAAGTCCTTGTTTGAGTTCAGGTTGCCGACAAATAGACAGAACGTTTCTGAGGGGGGAAAACATTTCTCAATGAGGTTATGCTTTAAATTATTATTGTCATCAACGGCAAACCTGTGAACAGTCAGAATAATATGAAGGTGACATCAAATGAATCAGTATTAAGTCCCTTGTTGTTCATCATGTGTACTGTGGTTAAATGTTGGAGCTGGTGTTGAAGGGCTGAATGTAAGGCGTTACCGTCGCTCTCTGACTTGGCCTTCTTGGCAGGCGGGGTCTCCTTTTTGTTGTCAGCCTTTCTCTTTGCAGGTGTCGCTGGGGCCTCTGAAACAAAACAACCTGAATATGACTCAAAAACCTTCACCAAATAACAGAGGTGGGAGGGGACCTTTTGTATAGACCAGCTCTGTACTTAAATATCTTTGAAATCGTCAGTGTCAGGAAGAAACGTTTGCGTCATAACTGGCCCTGAAAATAAAAATCTATGGCCTTGATGCATTTCAGTCCAAGCCCTTTCTCCCTTAGATGTGCCAACACCAAAAGGTGTAAGCTGGGGCTAATGTCGCGTTCACCTGCTAGTCAGAACTAGGGAAACTGAAATGTCCGACTTGATAACTGGTTGATAAGTGGCACGTGTTTATCTACGGACATTTCAGAGTTCCGACTAACACGTGAACGTGCAATAACCCCAGATTGCGACGACCGCCGGAGTCCAAGTCACCCCTTTCACCAAATGAATGAAAGAGGAGAAAGGAGGAAGAAAAAAAAGACAAGTCACTATTACTTACCATCTTCCTCATCATCATCCTCCTCGTCATCCTCATCATCATCTTCGTCATCATCATCATCTTCAGACTCCTCCTTAGCCTTAACCATGCCTGCTTTCTTTGCTGCGGGGGCCGGGGTGGTGTCCATCTCCTCTTCCTCAGAGTCTGGAAGGCACAGCAGATGGCGTTAGCCTCACAAGAGACCCAAATCAACAACCACAGGCAATTTACTAACCAGGGATTGGGCACATCAGATCAAATAAGTAGCGACATCAAATACATTCAGTATTAAGTCCCTTGTTGTTCATCAAGTGTGCTCGCACTCAGATGACCACTATCTGCCAGTGTGGCCTGTACCACATTGAATGTACTACCCCGATTTTGCATGCCGCCCATTCTTGACAAGACTTACGTGCACCGCTCAAGATCGGCAGCGGGCCCCCATCCTTACCATCGTCGTCGTCGTCATCAGACTCCTCCTTGGCTGCAGTGACCTTCACTGAGGGCTTGACAGCACCCTTCTTTGGGGGTGGGGCCTCCTCCTCTGATTCTTCATCTACATATAAAAGAGTAACATTAAAAAACATCAGCTTTTGCAGTCTGTGGTAGAAACCACTTAAAGCTGAGGCCCCAGGCCAATTTGAATAAAACATATTCTACAGGTTTATTGTAAAGGCCCAGTTCATTACTTGTAAGTGTGCCAGCGATTGAGGATAGGACCAGTAGACAATAACACACTGGTACCGAAGACATAGCACTGGCTTTGTTCTACCTCCGTACAATCACACATGAGTACCGAGCAACTACAGGTGTGCCAAGAAATGGAGGGGATCCTGGTTCCTAGTAGTCAAGTAAATGTATACTCTGTCAAACTATAACCCTTGTGCCCCCAACCCAATAAGAATAAATATGGGGGGGGGGGGGGGGGGGGGGGGGGACTCGTACCATCGTCGTCGTCGTCATCATCGTCATCATCTGACTCTTCTGCCTTGGCTGGAGCTTTCTTTGCAGGTGTGGCTTTGGCTGGGGTCTTCTTGGGTGGGGGGGCTTCCTCCTCAGACTCTTCCTCTGAAATGGCATTAAGTGTCAGGGCAGTGTAATTTCATTCACCAAAACTACAATTGTTGATGGTCCATACAAGTATCCTTACAAATAATATTTCAACAATATATCAATTGTGTTTAAATAGTTTGTTTAAAAATGAATGCTGCTGAGTGAGAGCTTAATTTAATATCTACCATTAAAATTATCTTTATAGTCAACGTACATAAAATGACACGTTCTTACCGGAGTCATCATCCTCTTCGCTTTCTGCTTTTTTTGCTGCTTTGCCATTTTTAGCCGCTTTGGGTACTGGTTTGGCTGGTGTGACAGCCTTCTTCGCTACTGCTTTCGGTGGGGCCTGGAACATATTAATATTGTTAACACATTAAAACACATTTTATTTGGGGGGTGGGGGGGTCCACATGGGTGGTCTGTCTTACCTCTTCCTCACTTTCTTCTTCACTGGATTCCTCTTCCACCTCTTTAGGAGGTGGTGGGGCCTTTTTCTTGGGGTTAGCTTGTTTCTTTGCTGCCTGTGAAAGTTAGAAACGTGGGTTCAGCATTAAAAAGTAGGTATGGGTTTAAAATTGTGAATGGTTTTGTGAGCTATATAGCTGAAAGCAAACGTGACTTGCTGTGAACACATGACATTTATAAAACGAAACGTATATTAATGTTAGCCAGTAACCTACCTGTTCATTTAATTAGTGGCAATGTCATGGAAATGTGACAAACCGTTCATGCGGGTCATGTTTGTCTGGACTTGGCTTGTAACTTGCCAACTTTGGGGCATGCACCTCGTGTGGCATTTGGGGGCAGGCGCACAACCCACGTGGAGCTCAAAAGTACGGCGCTAGCTAGCTGCTAACGTTAATTAGTTTTGTTGTCGGCTAAATTGGCTTGTCAATGTATTGTCGACACGTTTTTATATCTAGCAATATGCCCGGTTGAAGAGACATTCAGCTCATAAATAAAGAACTAAACAGACCGCAAACATGTTTCTAAGCTAGCTAGTTAGCATTAGCTAGCTAAAACGTGTGGCAGCACATTGCCTTACGGAAGTCCCAACTACAGCTTCTCTTAAATGAAAATTACACTACTAAAATAACTTCTCATTACTCCATAAAACACACACATTTAATACATAACTTATATTTCTGTAGTTAATTAGTTAGCGAGCTAGCTAACCACCAGGCAGGGAGCTAGCTAACCACCAGGCAGGGTATGAAAAGAGCACGCTTGATTCGCGAACGCGCATGTATGGCCATTTTAGGCTCAACTGTAAGAACAGAGTGCAATGAGAAAACGGCTTATCAAATCTGGGTCGAGAAAACGTTTTTAACTTCTTAATCTCCAATAATTATTTACGGCCACAAAAACTACGATGGTATCATACTTAACGCAATATAAATGTTAAACCAGGTAGTAGAATGAATGGACAGCCCAACATAATGCGTGTTTCTCTGCCATTTTCTCATGTCGGGCTGTCGTCTTCTGCAATTCAGGAACTTTCATTTTGGATAAAAAAACACCCGCATTGACAAACCACACGATTGAGTCACGAACATACATTTATACGAACGTTTCTTACCTTAGCTAATTTCACCATGGTTCCTGCTGTGTGTTGCGTTTCGACGAAATGGACGTGTAGAAATAAGGTCAAACGATTACTGCTCGCTGCACGTGTCCCAACCACCTCTGAGGAACACCGAGGAAGAAAGACAGATACGTAGGGAGACGCGCGGGTTACTTTCCTGCTCTGCGCGGCCACTGTACTCCGCCCACAATAACAATCTCCTCCACTCACAGATCGGGACATTTGCATAGTGTCTGCGTATGGCCTTCACATGCACGCGGATTTGCACTTGATAAACAAGCCAAACGCAGTACTCGAATAGTGAATAAACGAATCGGCATCGTGAATCACACGCTTGATATTTAAATTGCCTTTCTTTGTTCATCATACAGGTCCACCCCATTTAAAAAAAACATCGGACTAATTATATAACTGCAAAAAATAATAATAAAAAATCAATTAATACCCTTGCGGCTTGGGCTATGCTATGCATGTCCAATGTAAGCCTACAATGGTGAAGCGTCCTTAGTCCACAATGCTATACATATTTTTATGCCATTATGTATATATTTTTTACATGCCACCTAGCTATTAGACAGCTAAAATTGCATTATGTGTCGATTTGTCCAATAATATACCAGAATGCTCAGTAAATTGCTCGAAGGTGGTTAAAAATTTATAGATTGAAATGACCCTTTGTATTCATACACAGCTGTTTCGATTTGAGCCACGTGGTCTACTCCAGCTGCTTTTCAACCACGTGCTTCTTCTTGACTATGGCGTGCTGATGATCAGCGCTGCGCTAATTATCTGATCTATATCAACTCGATGTTATACAACAGAACTGTGACTGGTCTAATGATAAAGACTTGCTACGCTTCATATCTAATAAAGATCAGCGAATCTGCGCAGCGCTTGAGCCACAGAGTTTCTAAACCCAGAGGCCACATCACGAGCCTTCCAGAAACGCTTGTGAAGTAGACCAGGCCGGGGTTTGGGGTTTGAAGTGAAAAATTATTCCTTAGTTGGTAATTTCCTCGAAATCTAAAGGCACAACCTAGATTCGAGCCAATGTCTTAAGTAGTTGGAACATGTTATTTCTGCAACCTAGTGAAAGTGACAAACTGACACGTTTACATTTTCGTCAAAATCTCCTTTATAACGACCGTTAGACCAGATGATGTGAATCTGCGCATGTGTTTAGCTAGCCAATGTCGTCTACAAGCGTGATTGGGGATTTATTTTGTAGAAGCAGTTTCTTCATACTGTACAGACTTTGCTCGAGCCTGGTGAACAAACTTTTTAGGCCACACACTTACTTTCCTGCTCTGCGCGTGCACTGTACTCCGCCCACATTACAATCTCCTCCACTCACAGATCAAACATTTGCATAGTGTCTGCGTACGTTCTTGACGTGCACACGTTTGATATTTAAATTAAATGTATTTGTTCATGGTACTGGTCCATCCATTTAAAAACATCGAATAATTACATAACTGCAACAAAAAAAAAAAATTCTAATTAATACCCTCGGGGCTTGGGCTATGCTATGCATGAAGCGTCCTTTGTCCAACATGCCTAAAAATCTTTTAATGCCATTATGCATTCTAGTTACATGCCACTTATCTAGACAGCTATAATTATATTATGTGTCGATATGTCCAATAATATACCAGAATGCTCAATAAATTGCTCGAAGGTGGTTAAAAATTCTACATTGAAATGACCCTTTGTATTCATACACAGCTGTTTCGATTTTAACCACATGGTCTCTCCAGCTGCATATCAACCAGTGGAGGCTGGTGGGAGGAGCTATAGGAGGACGGGCTCGATATAAAGGCTGGAATGGAATTAATGGAACGGTATCAAACACAAACAAATGGAAACCACGTTTGACTCCATTCCATAAATTCCAATCCAGACATTACAATGAGCCTGTCCTCCTATAGCTCCTCCCACCAGCCGCCACTGATATCAACCACATGGTTCTTCTTGACTAGCATGTGCTGCTGGTCAGCACTGCACGAATTATCTGATCTATATCATGTCGATGTCATACAACAGAACGGTGACAGGTCTATAATTTGATAAAGACATTATACTCTTCCTCTCTAAAGATCAGCGAATCTGCGCAGGCTTGAGCCTTGGGAACAAACTTTGGTTACACTCTTGGGTCATCACTATTTGTTCAATTTCTCTTCTTAAAATCTGATTTGAAAGCAAACGCTAATCTTAACCCTAACATTAACCACACTGCTAACCTTGTGCCTAACCCTAACCTTAAATTAAGACCAAAAAGCAAATGTTTGTTTTCAGAACTGTTTACTATATAGCCAATTTTGACTTTGTGGCTGTGTTATGGGTCATTTAGTGGAAACCACATTTGTCTTGCAGGTCGCAAGTGTAAACATACCAGCAGTTTTGCAAGGTCTAGTTAAAATTTCTAGCCTAATGACCTGTCAAAACCCTCCCAAAAGGCCTGTAAACTAGGATCCCCAAAAATGTTTATAAATGCAACATTTATCCAATAAACCCTTTTCCCACAACGTTATCGAGCTAATTAAGAAGGAATATTGACGTAATTTGTAATGACGTAGGCTAAGAAGCAAAAATTCCATCAAAATAATAATTATTGCGAGCTTAAGAAAATGTCCCAAGACAAAAGATAATTCACCCTTATTAAACTCGCCAGATCATTTTCCATCAATGGATGTAAACGTAACTTGTTTGACTTCTATGATTAAGCAATAAGGACAGAGGAGGTGTGGTAGGCCTTAGCCGTGATATATTGGCCATATACCACAAACCTCTGAGGTGTCTTATTGCTATTATAAACTGTTTAGAACAGTAAAACATACACTGAACAAAAAATAAACACAACATGCAACAATTTCAAAGATTTAACTGAGTTACAGTTCATATAAGGAAATTAGTCAATTGAAATAAATAAATTAGGCCCTAATCTATGGATTTCACATTACCGGAAATACAGATATGCATCTGTTGGTCAAAGATACCTTAAAAAAAAAGTAGGGGCCTGGATCAGAAAACCAGTCAGTATCTGGTGTGACCACCATTTGCTTCATGCAGTGCGACACGTCTCATTCGCATAGAGTTGATCATGCTGTTGACTGTGGCTTGTGGAATGTTGTCCCACTCCTCTTCAATGGCTGTGCAAAGTTGCTGGATATTGGCGGAAACTGGAACACGCTGTCATGCACGTGGACCCAGAGCATCCCAAACATGCTCAATTGGTGACGTGTCTGGTGAGTATGCAGGCCATGGAAGAACTGGGACATTTTCAGCTTCCAGGAATTGTGAACAGATCCTTCCAACATGGGGCCGTGCATTATCATGCTGAAACATGAGGTGATGGTGGCGGATGAATGGCACGACAATGGGCCTCAGGATCTCGTCACGGTATCTCTGTGCATTCAAATTGCCATAGATAAAATGCAGTTGTGTTCATTGTCCATAGCTTATGCCTGCACATACCATAACCCCTCCGCCACCATGGGGCACTCTGCTCCCAACGTTGACATCAGCAAACCGCTCGCCCACATAACGCCATACACACGGTCTGCCATCTGTCCGGTACAGTTGAAACCGGGATTCATCCGTGAAGGGTACACTTCTCCAGCATGCCAGTGGCCATCAAAGGTGAGCATTTGCCCACTAAAGTCGGTTACGACGCCGAACTGCAGTCAGGTCAAGGCCCTGGTGAGGACAACGAGCACGCAGATCAGCTTCCCTGAGACATTGGAGGTGGCTTATGGTAGAGAAATGAACAT